TGAGAGCTTAGTGAGGGGAGCGTCTTGTTTGGCATCAACAAAGCAGGCCCCTCATGGAAACCTGGAGAACCACCCCATGGGCTTGTCTGGTCGGCGACAGTCAGTATTTGAAGCAGGGCTTTGATGATCATGACAGACACAGGCACCCAGAGCTCCTGAGCCCCAGACGATGGCTCGCTCTCACCACTGCCTTGGAACAGTGCCCGGCACCTTCATCCTTTGGCCATTTCTATAGGACATGCTGCTCATTCTCCAGACAGATGTCTCTAGCCTTTCTGGACTTGTCAGAATCCCTGGTAGCAAGTGGCAAACTCAGCACCAAAAGTCAGCTTTCTCTTCTTCCACACACCTTAATTTTATAAAAATTAGTTCTATCTAAAAATGAATTTCCTAAAAGTACCATTTACTGGGGCACAGATTTGACACGCTATTCCAGTTTCAGTTTCCTTCCTTTTTTTTTTCTTTTTTTTTTTTCTCAAAATTCTGGATTGGTAATCTAGTTTAGAATTGATTAGGATACAGGAAAGGGAAAGGAAGGAAAGTTGTTCTTCCAAAAGAAATAGGTCAGGCCACACCACACAACCCATTGGCTGTATGGATTCTGCTTGCTTTCTCATTGTCCTCACTTTTCCTAGTCTGTAAAAGGGAGCAATGACATTTTCTTGGAGTTATATGAAAGTTCAATCCAAATACCTGCTTAGATTTCAGGCCATGAGAAATACTTGGCACCTCCTTGTTTCCCTTTATTCCATAGCCCGGTCGACCCTCACCAGCTGTGCATGTCACTTTTCAAAATGGTTACTTTAATATACTTAAAATACTAACAACGGCCTACACTTCAAGTTCTAACATTAAGTATTCTCGTTGAATAATGGTGCAAGTTAATTTTTACTGAGTGAGCCTTTTATGCTGTTAGTTAATAAAAGCCCCTGTTTAATACCTGGGGGTCCTGTGAGACTCTTTAACTCCGTTATGGGTAATTTTGCAAAATTTCCAGAAGTTACAAATGCCAGTGGAAGTTCCTTTGTTGTTGAGCGCACAGCTCTCAACGATCTGAAGTTTAGCAGTGCAGTGAGGGCTGTAGACGGTACCCTCTGAGGAGCCTATAAGTACCCTGAGCTGCCAAGAGAGACTCACCACAGTCCTGCTTTCCCAGCGCTGGAGAGTTTTAAGCGTGCAGTGGCACTTCATCTCCTCTGAGGACTCCTGCTGCCCAAAAATAACCTTAAAATTGTAGTTATCCTAACAGAACTTCTGCTGCCCATGTGTGGAGAAACAAGCCCCGGGTTCCTGGTTGTGCTTTTAGGAGAGATGAGCTGTGCTCCATGTCTCGCTTCAAGAGGCAGTAGTGTGCTGCCTTCCGTGCTACTAAATTATGTCTCTGGTCACTGGTTCTTGTCAAAGAAAGGAAAGGGCCTGAGACACTCTGTGTCCAGATGCAGCCGTCTATGCAGAAGCGCACAGCCACAGCAACCCAGAAGACCACCTTTTCAGAAACCAGCTCGGGGCAGCAGGAGCAGCCAGGTGGGTGGGTGGGGAAAGGCAGCTGTTGCCTTGCCCGACAGCCCGGCCAGCCCTCAGGCTGTGTCAGGGATGGAGGGAAGCACGCTGCAGGCTGCCCTAGGACCAACACCCAACCTAGGCATGCACATGCCCACACACACGGAATAAATAAGTGCAGGCAGAGTACTTTGCTCACCGGGCACCTCACTGGAGCGAGGCAGAGGGAGGCAAGTGAGCACCAAGCTGCTGTCTGGTTCTCTGCTTCTTGGTTCCCACAGCTGTCCCCATCCACAGCAGCCCCTCCAGGAACTCTCCTGAGTGCAGCAGGGATGTGTTTGCATATGCACTCCCAGGCCTCATGATCTAAGGGATGTAGTGTCCATAAAAACTCATGTCTTGAGAGTATTCGTTTGTCGTTCCCTTTTACGACTACTAAGTACTGTGTTATGTATCATTAGCTTCCTGGGGGGGATTTGAGTAGTTCCTGCGGTTCGGTTGCATTTTTGGGGTTGTGTACTCTTTGCCTCACTTTCCCACTAATGCACCAGTTTTGTTTCCTATCTTTACTGATTCTGGGCAATGGAGCCAATGGGAAACCTCGTCTATGCACTCCCTGTTAGAGTCATGCTTCACTTCGCTGTTCTTGGCAAGGCTTGTTCTTCACGCACAGCTGTGAGGGGCTGTGATTAGGGATCATGAGCCAGCTGACACTCTCCAGCCCCAGCGTCTGACTCCACTGGCTGCGCTGGCCTGTCCCTGCAGGCTGCCCATGCTGCTCACCCTTACTGGGGCAGGGCTGGGCATCTCCAGGAGGGGCCTTTTTCCTCACCTATGGTTGGCTTCTGGTTAGTTGCCCTTGTTACTGCTGCAACAGAATACCTAGCAAAGGCAGCTCCAAGGCAGGGCAGGGCTGGGGGGCCGGGGTTTACTCTGCTTCGAGGCTTAAGGATACTAGTGTCAGGGAGGAATGGTGGGGAGGGGGAAAAATGGCATCAGCTCACATCGCAGCCACAGTGGGAAGCAGAGCACCAGGCACGCTGCTGCCCAGCCTGCTCACTCCTTCACTCTTCAGCCAGCCAGCAGCATTCAGCATGGGCCTGCCTCCTTAGTTCACCCTCTTCATGGTGCGTGCAGCACAGTGGAGCACCTTAAGTGTGTCCGCATCGGCTCACTCCTGCATTGTAAAGTGTGTCGAGTTTCATCTCTGAAAACCCAGCCTCACTCAAGCTTGCTTTCTAATACCTAGTCATAAAAGTAAGACTCCTTCAGCCTCTGGAAGCCTTCGGGAAGCCTTAACACTGGCTTTTGATTGCTGTTCTTTGGGTCCTGCCTCTAAGTCAGCTCTTCTGAGTCTGTGTCTCTTCCCATCCCTCTGTCCGCCCCCCCCCACTCCCATGTGCCTTCCTCTGTGTGTGTCTGTTTCTCACAGTGCCTTCTGTGCTGCCGTGACTACATCAGTTTAACCCCAGCAGCATAATTTACTCCTCTCCTTATCATTCCCTCTAACAGCCAGTCAGCCAGTCCCTGGTCTCCTCCTGTCTTAAAGGGCGGGAAATATTTCCCAGCATCCTCTGCCACAGCACTGTCCTCCTCACTCTAATGCAGGTAGCACATAAGCATTTCCTAACCAGACATTAAAGAACTTTCTAAAGTAGTTGCCCTGCTTTTCAAATTATTCCTCCTGCGTTGCTCATTACCATAGTCTTAACAGGCAACTTCCTGGGCGAATTGTTGGTTCACTGGCCGTGGGCAGTCAATAGGTGCTGGTTTTAAAACTTTAGCTATTTCAGTGGATTGTTAGCTCCCTGCATTCCTGTCCCCAGTCTCCCTCAAACAAATGTTTCTAAAATCCTTTACACAAAGCTTCAATATCTAAGACCAAAAATTGAGTCCCTGAGTCATTAAGAGGCAAAACCCCAAGCTGAAATAAAACCATTGCGAACCTTCATTCGCCTGCTGTGCTGTGAACGCTAATGCACTGTGCTTCAGGCAAGTCAGTGGGTTCATTGTGGATGCCCTGCAGCCCCTGCTGGCTCCTGTGCAACGTTTGCTGTGTCACAGTGTTTCTGTCTTACCACTTTTCTAAAATTTGAAAGTATAAATTCCAACACTCAGGGAGCCCCACAATTTTCAGAGAGGGGTTTATGGCCTTCAGGATCCAGTTCCCAGACTAGTGTGTGTACCCTAGTGTACCAGTGTGCAACTAGTACCTGTGAGCTTTAGTGAAGTTTGATTAATACGAGGCACTTCAAAATAAGAAACTTCTCCCCAACCAGGCCTTGTGGCCTTGGGCCTTGGAGAGTAAAAATGATGATTCAGTCCTTAGAAAGGGGGAGCCAAAATGTTTCCTTCATTGTTCTCTTACGGTCATAGTAAGTGCTCTGTGGTCAGCCAATAAATCGGGATGAATGGAGCATTATTCTGTCAGGTGAAACTGCCCCTGTCAGTACCCTAGAAGTGCTTTCTGTGTGATTCATGTTTTGTTTTCCTTTTATCATCCTGTGTCTCTTTGGTTGTGTTGAACATTTTTTAAAAAGTGTCGCATCAGCTTTTTTTTAATACTGATGATTTAATTGCAAAAGCATATATAAACAGTTTGAAAGGTGTGAAAAGAAATTTCACAAGTCACACAGGGAACAGCACCAAAGCCACCTTCAGTCTGGAATTCATCACTTTGCAAAGCAAACTGCAGTGCCAGCACCAAATGGTGCGGCCTCAGCCAGCGTGAAGAGCCAGTTGATGAAGAAGGCATTTGTCTCGGGGCAGAGGTGCAGCGGTGGTGGAGATGTGCCTCGGCCTCCAGGAGCGGGGGTGTGCTGGGGGAGCAACATGTGTAAACCACACATGTCACGGGGCAGTGCGCCAGAGGAGTTGCACTGCGGCTCTGGAGGTCAGACAGAAAAGCAGGCTTGCTTTGCCTTGTGACGATGGGTCAGAGTAGACCGAGGCAGAGGCTCCATGAAAGGCTGCTGGGGCACAAGCACCAGGAGGACAGTCCCAGCTCTCTGGAAGCTCTGTTTAATGGCTGCCATTCTAACATGAGAACTGTATTAGAGTAGTACATGAGAATTATAGCCCTCGGGAAGGCAGGGCAGGGGGAACCATCATGCCTCATCCTGACAGACATGTTGGAAGACAGAGACAGGCCAAGGAATCTGTTCTGGACAGATAATTAGATTTTTTTTTTATTTGTGTGCGTGTGTGTGTATCTGTGTGTCTTAAGTGTATATGTCTATCTATATGTGTGTCTGTGTTTGTCTGTGTCTGTGTGTGGAGGGGCTGTGGATGTGAGTGCTGGTGTCTGCTCAGGTCAGAAGAGGACAGCAGCTCTCCTGCAGCTGGAGTTCAGGCATGAGCCACCCAGCGTGGGTGTGGGGAAATGAGCTGGGGTCCTTTGGGAGAGCAGTGTGTCGTCTTAGCTGCGGACCCAGGCCTCCAGCCAGGCTGGGTGTCATCCGGACGGCTCTACTGTAGTGATCCGTGCATTGTCGTTGCAGGTGAATCAAGCATCCCTTCTGGAACAACACAGAGTGGGAAAAGTTTACAGAACAAGAGTCAGTTTAGGACCATCGCACCCAAAATTGTGCCTAACGTCCTAACGTCCAGCGTGCTACCCTGTCCTTCCTCACTTCCTGACCAAGAGAGTCTAGCTCTAACCACCAAGCCTCTGGGTGTGCCCACTCAGAACTATGCTCTGATGCAGGTGGCCGGCCAGGAGGGCACATTTTCTCTTGTTGCTTTGCCAAATGTTGCCTCAGCTCAGCCAGTTCAGAAGCCCAGGATGTCCCTACATGAAAACTTTAAACTGCCAATTCCTCGATACCAGCCACTAAGTAGCAAAGAATTCAGGAAGAAACAGGATCTGGGCTCTCTCCAGAGTGGCTGCAGCAGACCTCCTGGCCCAGCCCAGATGTTCCAGATGTCCCCACACGCCCATCCTGCACTGCCTCACAAACCCAGCCTGTTGAAGCAATTGCTCACTTTTGAACCTTCCCCCACCCATATCAACACAGCTACACTGACAAGGGGTTTTGGCCGAGGAGATTCGAATCCTCTAGTGACTGATGGCTGTGGAGATCAGGAGCTTCCTGCCACTCCATCATCGACTCCAGAGGAGTCCTCTGACCTGCAGAGCCTCGCAGCGGTTATGCAGAAGGCCAGGAAGGAGGTGCCTGCCAAGCCTGCCACCGCTGGCAGAGAACGCAGAGAGCAGACGGCCTCTGCACACGCTGGCTGCAGCAGGGCGGTGCCGCTGACCTCCGGAGTGCCCAAGGGCAAACTGCCCGTCCTGCCCTTCTCAAGAGTAAGAACCGTGGAGGTAGGCAAAGTGGAGTCAGATGCGGACACTACAGACGTCTCTACCCCCGGATGCGGGGCACACTGTGAGGAGAGACTGTCTGTCACAGAGAGGTTCGATGCAGCCACCAAGGTAGCCAGCGTGATACCTGCACTGCACGGGTCACAGCCGAGTGCGAGTGAACGTGCCTTCTGCCCTGTCACCAAAGTAGATCTCGGCCGCAAAGCAAACGCCAGCAGTGGGTTAGCAAAGAGAAGAGGAAGGAAATGGAAAGTGCCAGATGAGATTTTAGCACTGCAGGGTAAGAGGAGGAAATGCAGGAATAGTATGTGTGGAGACAGTGTAGAAAGAGCGAGAACCAGTCCCCAGGAACCCAGAGACCAGAAGCCCAGGGCCGCTTCAAGAAAGTATCGTCACATCATGCCCAAGCCTGTCCTCGTCCTGTCCACCTTGGCGCCCCTGGCATCTCCCTCGGCCGTGCTGCAGGCCCAGGCTCCCAGCAGCCTAGGTCAGGACGTGCTGGCCAACGCCCTGCGTCTGAACGGCCTCGACCCCAGGCCGAGCCCTGCACCCAAGCCCAGCTCTGCGCTTAGAAGCGGCTTCTCTGCCATTAAGAAGCCCTGGCACATGTGCCCTGTCTGCAACCACCACTTCCAGTTCAAGCATCACCTTCTGGACCACATGAACATACACACCAACAGACGGCCTTATAGTTGTGGGATCTGCCGCAAGACCTACGTCCGTCCCGGCAGCCTGAGCGCACACATGAAACTCCACCATGCCGAGAATCGCCCCAAGAAGCTAGTGTGCTGTGAGTTTTGTGCCAAAGTATTTGGTCATGTCCCAGTCTATTTCGGCCATCTGAAGGAGGTGCACAGGGTTGTGATCAGCACAGAGCCCTCCTCCAGTGAACTGCAGCCAGGAGACACACCAAAGAACAAGGACCGAGATGCCGGTGTGCAAGGACCAGACGGCCCACTGGAGAGGTGAGTGCTCACAGAAGGGAAGCCTGGCGGGAAAGCCTGCTGTGGATTGAGAAGGTGAGATTTCAGGAAGTAGTGAGGAGTGGCGGTGCCCACCTGGAATTCCGGCACTTGACAGGAAAACCTGGAATTTGATATCAGCCTGGGCTGTGTGAGAACCCTTCTCAACAGCAACAACCAAAGATGCCGGAGGGTGAGATGAGCCACCTCTCCTACCCCTCAGCTCTGTGAAGAGTGATCCATCTCCTGTTTATTTCTGGTCAGTCACAGTGTTTAATTACTCAGACTTGCGTAAGTCAAAGCTTAAGTGCCAGCTTGGGATATGTTGGGGACAGCTAGTAACAGATTTTTTTTTTTTTTTTTGCATCTGAAATTTAAAATAGTAGATTATTTTATATAGTTTTTAGCAGTGTTTATAAAGTAGTTTTCCCTGAATTATTGCTCCTGGAATTCTTATCTAAACAGCACTATCTAGCCCACAATGATGCAGTAGGGCGCCCCTTTTCCAGACTCTGAGGTATCCCACCTCACCCTCGGCATCTCTACATGTGCCCTTGTTACCGACAGGCCACGTTAACTTTTTCTGTGTCCTTCTATTTTGTAAGCACTGCTCCTTGACTATGGATGGATGGAGAGAGAGATGTAGTCATGTGAGTTTTGTGCAGAAGTATTTGGTCATGTCCCAGTCTATTCCGGCAGTCTGAAGGAGGTGCCTAGGGCTGTGATGAGCACAGAGCCCTCCTCCAGCTGCAGCCAGGAAGCTGACAACAGGCACTTGAGCAGTAATGACCAGGGGAGTGCCTGCAGTGTGTCCACAGGCCCACAGCTCAGGCGACTGAGGCATGAGGAGGAAACCCCGCCAACACCTTAAGTTCTCTGTCCCTTGTTCTTCTGTTGTCCCGGTTGCTCTAAGTGTTTTCTGTTTAGTATCATAATGCATAAAAACAAGATACCTGCCATAGCTTTTCCTGTCTTTTTACATTTCCTCTTCTCCACTCGCTCTTTCCCCCCTTCCACTAACATGTCTTTTGCTAACGTGTCGTGGAACCTCCCTTTGCACTTGTACCTCGGTCATCTTAAAATCAGATGTCAGAACGGCGTGGATGCTGTGGCATTCCTCTCCAGCAGTACACGGGGTACCGTGGAGCACCCATCATAGTCATATTACATCTTCCTGTTGTGAACACCTGTGGTACCCAAGGAGGCGTTTCTCTCAGGGGAGGCACGGGACTCTTCTGAAGTGGTCCTGGTGGCTCTGGGGGTGGCAGCTTGTGCTCTGCTGAGCTCTCTGTCCAGTCCCCTGCTTTCCTAGCAGGGCGCTCATATCCCTGATGGCAAAGAGATCCAGTTGCATTTTCCTGGGAAATCTTAACCTAAACTGTTTTCCCCTTTCCAGGGAAACCAAGTCAAGTTTGGAAGAAGATTTCCTTCTAAACCAGGCAGATGAAGTCAAATTGCAAATTAGATGTGGCCGTTGTCAGATCACTGCTCAGTCCTTTGCTGAAATCAAGTTTCATTTACTTCATGTTCATGGGGAGGAGATTCAAGGCCGGCTTCAAGAGGTGATCTTACCGGGCAGCAGGCCTGGCACTGCCCACCAGAAGCTGCACCCGGACAGAAGGAAGCAGGTGATGCCCTGCGCCTCTGTGGAGGACTTCCCAGCATTTCCCAAAGTGCGAAGACTGCCGGCCCCTCATCAGCACAGAGAGGAGGTCCTGGCAGAGAGCGAGGGTGCCCGGTGGGGAAGGGGTGGCCCGCAGCCCTCCACCACGCTCTTCTGGTCCCGCTCCGGCTTCAACTGCCTGCTCTGCGCCCAGATGCTGGGGCGGAAGGAGGACCTGCTTCTTCACTGGGTACACCAGCACAACTGCGAGGACCCCACCAGACTCTGGGCTCTCCTGGGGACACTCTCCAACCAGGGCGCTCCCGAGCCCCCGTGAGGCCAGGCAGTGACCACCCCTCCGTCCCTCCCTTTCTGTGGGTGTTTAACTGTAAGGCTCCAGCGCTCCAGGGCCAACGCTAGTGGGCAGAGGGAATTTTTGTGCATAGTTTTATTTTCTTAAGAAATAAAGAATGTGCCCTGATGCAGTTTTCTAACGTATGTAGTCTCACTTTAAAATGCTGTGCAGTCTCTAACACCATAGACTTATTTATAAGAAATAAAAATATCAAAATTGGGAAACTGAAACGTAGAGAAGATTGTTATTCTCAATTGCAGGTCTTTGAGGGAGAGAGAGAGGGTGTGTGTGTGTGTGTGTGTGTGTGTGTGTACGTGTGTCCTCTTTGATTATATATACAATTCTACAGCTGTGGAATGTAGTCTCAACCGTAGTATACAGTTACACGATCAATGTAGATATTTGTTAGTCTCTGGTTTATTTGCATACACTCTAGAATAGTCTTTTTAATAGTGCTTCATCTACCATAACTTAAAATCTGTGTTTTCAAGATACATTTTTAAATGTTTTGCTGTCTTCTTAAATGTGTAGTGCTTTGAAGAGTAGCCAGCAAACAGCAAGTCTTCTGGTGTCCCTTCTCAAAATAATTGAAAAAATTGCATACTTCAGCTGATTAAAAAAAAATCCACTTCCTTGGTAGAAAGTTATTTTCAGGAAATCTTTGTGCCCAGAAAATTTACAGCCTGGAAAGTGAACTAGAAGGTGCAGTCCAGATGCGGCGGTGCTGCCTGCTCGCTTTCCCTCCCAGGAGCTTCCGAGGGCTGTCGCTAGCTGATCAATTTTAGATACAACTGTGCCTTAAAGCCCAGGGTCTCTTTGAAAGTCAAGAGTAAGTGATTGGCTCCTAAAGTCCTGGAAATTATCTTGACTCACAGAAGCTGCAATTGAAGTTTCTGGCCATCCTGCCTGTGAGTCATGTTCTGAGAAGTGAGGTCTCAGCACTCATCGCCCTAAACTCACTGCCTTCAAAAGAAAGCTCTGTGCATGAGGCCTGTCCTTTCTGTTTGCCAGGGACAGGCGTGAGAAGGTTCCCCAGCAGGAAGAGGGACATTCTGATGCTATGCTGCTGGGTCTCGTGTCATCTTTTTAAGTGTCCGGCTGTTTGTAGGTGCCCCTGCAGCAGTGCAGGAAGGAGACTTTCTTTGCTAATAATTTTGCAATTCTGAGAAAGATTTGGTTTGGATTCCCATGAGCATTTGCCATGGTCTACCCATGATCACCCTCCACTTGGCTTCAAGGAGCTCATAACAGCCCACAAGCGTTAGATGATTTCAGACCCCCTCCGTTAGTGATGAAACAGTGTGCCTAGACCACTCAATGACTTTGCTAGTTTTTAAGAAGATTCATTTTAAAACCTGTATTCTATCAAGAATACTATTTGAACCCAAACTCTGAAATGATTCATAGACCAACCAGTCCTCAGGTACAAGCAGGATTTCAGAAAAGCTGGCCAGTTGGCCAAGGGCAAAGTGGCCATTGTGGTGGACGCACACCTTGTAGGCAAAGCAAAGGGGGATGACACTTTGTTGAGACCCCAACACAGCCACAAGTGTTTAATGTATGAGATAGACAGTCTCTGGGGTGGAGAAGAGAACAGAGGTGAGCAGAAGTATGCTGACCTCCAGCTTTCCTTCCCAGTGTGTTTCAGGGTGGTGGCTGAAGTTGCTGACTAAATTTAAAAGCAAGTCCTTGGGGTACTGATTCGTGGCATACAGGGCCTGGGCCACTCAGCGAGCATTGTAAAGAGAGTCATTGTCCTGGAGACACAGCTCACTGGTAGAGTGCAGTCTCCAGGCCTCAAGTCCCATTGCCTTGGAAGAGAGCAAGCTTGAAGCAACTGTGTGTGAGGACATCTTCAGATGTCACCCTTCACCGGTGCAGCTGTGCCGCAGGGCACACTGTCCTGGCTCTCAGCGATTTGTCTGAGAACGGGAAGAAGGGGCCTGTGTTGGGAGGGCGTACCTGAGCTAGTGGACACTGGCACAGTCTAGCCTGAACGCCCACAGAGCCCATTGCGGTGGGATAAAGTACTCTACCTTTCAGCTTGTAACCTAGAGAGAAATCTTTTTCCAGGGCCACTCTGTAAAATAACAGTGACAGTCCCCCCTCAAGAAGTAACTAGGAAGAGTTCTTGACAACATAGCAACAGGTGGTTGGTGGTTTTTTATGCTTTGGATCAGATCTGAGGACGGTACATTATAGCATATAAAAATCATTGGAAATAGCCCAGATAGCCCTGAAATACAGGTTTATAGGGTCAGAGCTCCAGAGAGGCAGAGGGAGCCGCAGCTCTGTATAACAAGTGCATTTGTGGAGGTTGGTGCTCTTCAGAGCTGCACCTTTCTCTGTCTGCTGCCCTCCCCTGCTAAAGCTGGCTTGAGACCACTAGCCTCTTGAGGGCGGGCATGGCCCATTGTCAGCCTGGAGTCCTACAAAGGCCATACTCTACAGGGACTAGCAAGCACACAGATCATTGCTGGAAGGATGGGAGGAATGCCTGCATCAGCTGAATTCGAATGTGCTGCTTCACTTTTTTTTGTTTTTAATAAAGCACCAAGCCCATGACTAGGACAGCATTGAAGCAAATTGGGCCTTCATCTCTTTAATTTTCCTTAATGTCTTTGCTTCTTTGAAAATTGTCCCACAGCCAGATCCCCCCCCCCTTTTCATTTGGCACTAACTTTTCTCTGAGAGAGCACTTTTGATTTGTACTTTTTTTATTACTTGTCGTTTTTATTCATGTCCCTCTCGTTGCGCTTGCTGGCTCTCTGGCTCTTCTGGTGCAGCCCACCCCCTGCTGAACTGTCCCTCACATGGAAGCATGTCTCTTCATCTGCACACCATGAATAATTGAGCCCAGGCGCCTTCCACAGCCTTCCCTGGCTGCAGACCCCTCCTCTCCGGCTACACGGCTCCAGCTTTCTGTGGTGGCATAATTGTTGGCAATAAATGTTGTGCTTCGCTTACTTACTAGGATTCTCCAATCTAGACAGGCCTGGTCCATTCAAGCTGCTGACATACTTTGTTATGTGTGTGTTTTATAGTCTTTTTACTGGGCTCCTGAGAACAAGCCGTGGGCAGGATTTGCCGGGTTTAGCAGCATAGAGTTTCAGCTTAAGTCCCGCTGATCCAGGCTTCGGACGGCCCCATGTGCCTGAACCGTCTCGAGGAGTGTGACTCCGGGGCAGACTGTTGTGTCTCCTGCCTGCCCTAGACCTGGGGGTTCCATCATAAAACCACAAGCCCTCTTCCTTGGGTGTATTGTGGACTCGGGGCCAGGGTGCAGGCACTGTTTTGGGAGCGCGTCACAGTGGCCACAGTGACTTGTGGAAATGCCTCAGTATGTTGTTTAAGCTTAGGAAGTACTATGGGCAGAACCAAAGGTGGCAGCTAAAAGCCATGTCACAACCCTTTGTTCCAGGTGTCATGTGAAACGAAGCAGGTTCCGTCCTCAGGATGCCCCCCTTGCTGTTGCATAGCAGTCAAGAACTCGTTTAAAATGGAGATGATAATAGTTGTCCTTTTCAGTATGCTCCAAACACCAATAATAATATTATTTTTGAGAAACCAAATACTTACTCAGTACTCAAAAGAATTTATATACTTTTTTTTTCATTAAACAGGAATTGACTCCACACTGAAAGGCTGGCAGGGAAAACAACTAAGTGTTCTGCGAGCCTCAGCAGAGGCAGGCAACGAGGGCAGCCTAACCCTTGCCATCCAAGTGTCGGTGTCGGTTTTGTAGAACGAGGACCGGAGCACAGGTGCTGCCAACCACTCTGAGACCCCTGTGGGTAAATGTTACAGTGCATGCATCCCCTCCCACCTGTCCCCAGTGAAGCCCGTTGGTGACATTCACCATGGCGTTCATGGAGCCTTGCTTTTGCCGTGACAGTGACTGTATCCAGGAAGTCGCTCTATCATGTCACAAAATGTGTCTTTCATAGCTGTTTGGCTTGTTAGTTGCAGTGCTAGGGATCAAGCCAAGGCCCAGCACGTGCAAGGCAAGTGTTCTACCCTGACACACAAGCAGCCCAATCCAAACAGTGTTTGAAGAAAGAACAGGCAACACTGTAATGTCACAATGTGACCAAGAGACTTGTAGATAATAGTGGGTCCAATCTGTCACAGAGAGAGAGAGGTTGGAGTGAACCCAGGCCAGTGTCAGCAAAACAGCAAAATAGCATGAATGTGTTGATCTCCAATGGATAGAAAGAAATTGAACAGCATCAAAATTGAAAAGACCTTTGGCCCATAGATTCTATTTGTGAGAATAGGTACATGAGGACACAGATAGGGGAACAATGTGTCCCTGATTTTTTGTTTTTAAATAGAAGACTAAATCAACTCATCAGAATGAGCTAAAAATTATTACAGTATTCCATATAATGGAATACTTTGTGCTTCAGTCAGGGCTCTCTAGAGGAACAGAACTTAGAGAATGAGTGAATATGTATAGACAGACAGACAGAAGGGATTTATTGGAATGGCTTCTCAACCTGTGAGTCACAACCACTTGAACGGCCCTTTCACGGGGCCACAGATCAGATCTCCTGCATGTCAGATATTTATATTAGGATTCATAACAGTAGCCACATTACAGCCATGAAGTAGCAATGAAATAATTTTAGGGTTGGATCACCACATGAGGATCTGGACCGAAGGTTTGCGGTGTTAAGATGGTGGAGATCCACTGGCTTACAGGGCCTGGTCCCACTAGTCCAGCAATGGCTGTCTACCAACAGAAGGGTCCAAGAATCCAGTAGGTGTTCAGCCCACAAGCCTGGATGGCTCAGCTGGCCTCCAGTGTACCTGGGAATCCCGAAGAAGTGGCCTCCAACACCAGTGAAGGAATGGACTTGCCAGCAAGAGCAAGAGCAAGCAGGCAAAGAGAGCAGGCTTCCTTCATTTCCTTGCTAGAGGGCTGGTGGAAGGTGTAGCCCACCTTAAAGATGGATCCCCCCACCTCCAAGATCCACTTAAATAACTTGAGAAAAAAATCTCTCACAGGTGTGCCCAGCCATTTTGGGTTTTGGTTAAACTTCAGATTTGGTCAAGTTGACAACCAAGAATAGCCATCACACTATGCTTTGGTGCAAAAGTTTGAAGTAGCTTATCGTGTGTTAGAACATAGCAATGCCCAAGGTGTGCCTGTGTGTGTTTTAATGTAATATTTTAATTTCCGAAAATAGTATGCATGCATAAAAGCATGTATC